ATCACTCTTTTCTTATAAGGTATGGTTGGGAATTGGAATTGGACTTTCCGGATGAGAGGATGCATGGAAAGGGAAAATATTTTCTTTCTCTGCATCCTCTTCTCCGTCGATTAGGGGCAACGCATACCCAATTGCATATGTCTATGGTTAACGGTCACTTCGCTATTTCAGCGATTTCAGGTGGTCGCTCGCTCGTTTGCCGCCTTATGATATATTATATATATAAAAAACCTTATGGGAACTAACTTTTGCAACATAGACATATCTTCTCGTTCTCTGTTCATTCAAACAATTTTAAGGTTATCATAGTTCCATTAATATATTATATTCTTGTTTATAACAGCGCGTCATACAGTCTATGAAGCTTACATGATGTCATTGCATACTGAATTAGAACTGAGCCGTTACTGCGCTATTGCGATACGACGCGGTTTATGACACACGCGTTCATTCATGATTAATAATAGATGCACAACTGAACAAATCGTACGGTATTCACATAAAACTACGACTCATTTATTCTTATAAATTAAAATGGCCTTTTTTGTCCAAAAAATAATCACATTTGTAAATCTTAGCAACAAATATACGTAGTAAGCGTTCCTTTTTTTTTGTTAATTTTTTTTGATCAAGATATTATTTGAACATCATATCATACTAATATTACAAATACGAATGTTTAGATGAATGGATGTTTGTATAAAGGTATCTCTGGAACGGCTTAACGGATCCCGATGAAGTTTTTTTTTAATTTCGCGAGGACGTAGTCATGGGCGACAGCTAGTTTTAAATAAAGAAAAAACGTCGAAAACAAAATACTATCAAATAATTTGACAAAGAATTTTTCAAACAACGAAATGAGAAATCTTCTTGCTACAGTAAGTATATCGATTTTTATACAATCTGGATAAGTTTAGCTACATAATAACCCTAAAAAAAATCTAGCAAGTTCTTTTGTTTATTAGCCATTTTAGATAGATCAAGGAAACTCCGCCTGCGCGCCTAACAGATAACTGCTTTTGTAAATATAAAACGATAAAAATAGCGTCACAGATGCAAAAACGGATATCGCTTCGAGGCCAATGGACTTTTGTTTATTATTTACGGATGTATTTTCAGAATTACGCTGATTAATTTTGAAACATTCTAATCTTATCTTATCTTATATCTTTAAATAAGCAATTCTTGTATATTTATATATATTTATATAATTGGAATCTTGGAATCGGCTCCAACGATTTTCATAAAATTTAGTATATAGGGGGTTTTGGGGGCGATAAATCGATCTAGCTAGGAATCATTTTTAGAAAATGTCATTTTATTTGTGTTTTATCGATAATCAACTTAAACATTAACTTAACTTATTCTATCGGTAAGATCGAAAAATATTATTCATATTTCATCATTTTATTAGTAATTTGTACTTGAATATAATTTCCAAAAAACACAATTTAAAAAAAATATGTCATGCAGGTACTATGTATAATTTGACCACTTGAATTAAACGAATAACTATCGCTTTGTAATCAATATTTTAGCATTGTGACTTTTTGATAACACCTCCAAAGAGGTCTTAAGCTGCGAAAGAAGTGAAACTGGTCACTTGCAGCGACGTCGTTAAAAAAGGTGTTAAGACAAAAGACGATCTGAGACAATAATTTCAATCTAATAGTATGCTGGATGGTTTGGTGTGGACACGCAGGATTATTATTTTATGTTTTAGATTCCTACCTATTTACCGTAGGTTTTTGAGACCAAGGGCACGGTTAAAACATATTGCTTTGTTATCTTTTGTTAAAGATATTGACGATTTACGCACAGATTTCGGTCTCAAATACTAGTTAGACTTTTAGGTGCGTAATTACTTGTTAAAAACATTTACAATAATAATTTTATTCTCACTTTATCTTCATCCATTCATATTTATATAAGTAGTTCGTTTTAAACCATTATACAAATATGCTCCGATTCAATCCATCAATCAACTGGTACTCAGTGTTGAGTGCAATCTCTAATACGATGATTCAAGAACTAGCGCATTTATGTAACCTAAATCATTTCTATGTAGGAGTTATTATGAAATGCTTTCGTAGCATATTTTTTTTATATACTGTTATATATTTTTGTATTTCCTACTCTTTATATACATCAATAGATTAGCTCTATACCTATACGTAGATATGTGTAGAGTGTAAGGTTTTTTCTTCATAATTTTGACAATGGTAGAGTCTGCAATGTTAGGTACACGAATAGGGTTGGGGTCGACCTGTACAATACCACGACCCAGGCAGGAGTAAAGTGGAAAAACCGCGTTTCGTCTGATGAGTGTGTATTCCGGACGCTTAATTTTAATCCACCTTCTCTCCCCACCCTTTTCTCATAAGGAAGTGATAAGAAGAGGAAGTGGATTGGGCACAGCACAGAGGATAGGGATCCTCTTTTCGTGCGTTCCCTCCTCTGTTCATCAAAGGTACGCAACGCATCTGCAATTGCAGATTTCTATGGTCTGCGTTCGCTTTGCCAACTTATAATAATAAAAAAAAAACTTTTGCCTGCCTCAATGCCGCAAAATATTTATTTGGTTGCTGTTCTTCTCTAAAATATCTCTATTTTTTACATTTCTACAAACAAATTGACATAAGCTTTTTCGCGGATAGGTTTTGATACGCAGATTTATTCAAGTTTATGAAAGAAATTGGTTACATATTTATATTTACGAGCTTACAAACTCTAGGCTTAAAGAATGAGTGTTACTTAGCTATAATATTTATAAACAATATAATTTGCAAGTAAAAATATATAAAACTTGCAAATGAAATTTTCCACTGACATAATCCCTTTGTTATATTATTGCCACAGACAAAATATTGCGGTAACAAACGCTGCTCCACGTTGCGTCTCGTTCATTTAAATTAGGGCGAGGGAAATAAAAATGTAATTTTGTATATTCTTGAACGTTAGCCGCAGAGTTTATTCGTTATAAAACAACTAAAAACGTAATAGATCATTTTATCTATTCAATAAATTTTCATCTGAAAAGCTAAAGTTAAAATTTAATTTAGTTGCTTAGAAGACTGATTTTTCTATTTTACATACTCAGGTATAAGAAAGATTGCTTGTGGTTGTTACTTTAAAAGGTTTTCCGTGGAAGGAGTTTTTTTCAAATTTTCTTCAGAGTTACTCTATACATAAACTAAGGTCTATACATAAAGTAATTATTATTGATAGATTGATGATAAAATTGTTTGAAGAGTAAGAATTCTTGAGGACAATTTTAAAAATTATTATTAACTTCGTAATTGTGTTTGTTCGTTTTTTAAACTGATTCGTGGCGTCATGTTTATCGAAACGAAAATAACTTTTTTAATGTGTAAACGTAAGCGACCTATGACTCAACTAGTTTCTTGTTCTTGCCAAATAAATTAAAAGCAATAATAAAAATAAAATAAAATCTTGCGTCCCGGAGGCCTCATTTAGTCATCTTTCTCTTCCCACCTTTTTTCTTATAAGGAAAGGATAGGAAGTGGAAGTGAACTTTCCGGATGAGAGGATGCGTAGGAAGGGAAAATATTTTCAACGCATATGCAATTGCGTATGTCTATGGGCAGAGGGTCGCTTCGCCATTTCAGCGATTTCAGGTGGCCGTTCGCTCGTTTGCCACCTTATGATATAAAAAAGGGAAGGCCGCAATATACTTTTATAATTAAAAAAAAACTAATAGCTTAAAATATTTCTAAGGAGTTTCTATTTCACCATTGAATCATCAAGCTGGGGCTAACGTTATTTTTTTTTGTCAAAACGTTTTTATTTGGACCTTAATGTATTAAAATTTTACAAGTAATTTAAACAATTCGAATGCCGGACCACGTTACAGCGGCGCCCAGCCTCACATCATTCACAAATGGATTGAAATCAGTGCTTGTCGAGAGGGAGGATTCGTATAAAGAAATTTTTCAATGATTTTTTTTGTAATGCTCTTTGTCCTGTCATTTAAATATTACCAATAAATATTGTATTGTATTTTACTACAGGTTACATTAAAACGGAAATTTTATAAGTAGGTTAAATCAAAGAAAAATCAAAGGAAATAGACCGAACCGAGAGCATCCTTTATCCTGAAATTTATCCAGGATAAAGGATGCTCTCTGTCCCACGACGAGTAATTATAACAAGCCAATTCAAGGGAGTAAGTTAAAAATAGTTAAATAAAAGTCCGATTTGTCTAGACTATCTTTAACAAATAAACGATATTAAATACTCTTAAACTTAAGTTGAGATTGTTGACAGTTACAAGAAATTGCTTTCAGCACGATTAACTTGCGTCCTGTGGCTATATTTGTCCTAAAATATAAAAGGTGTTTCGGTTTAAAGATCTTTATTTACTCATAAAAAAAACACAAAGTTTCGCTTACAATGAGTATAAATGTAAAATATAATATAACATAAGGGCTTGCGGGCTAATACAAAATATAGTAACAATGTATAAGATTAATATAAATCAAAAACATACCTTAGTTTCAAATATATATATCTATTAGTATATGTAAATATTTAGCTTTAAATTACGAGTATAATTATAATTGTCACAATAGTTAGAATTCAATTATAGAAATAAGATTTTTTTTTAAAGAATTACTATGAAATATAGATTAGTTATTAGAAGATAATAAAATTTGATATTTACTTTTGAAGAATCTTTAACAGTATTTTTTAATTATTTCGTTTACTATATAAACGTATGAAAATATTTTTTTTTAATTAATCACGTGTTCTGTATTTAAAAAGACGAAAATTGTTTAAATAAAAGTGCAATATGTAAAAAAGGTGATATGATAAATTTTCTAATAGACAAGCATTTATGTGGATGTCAAAAAGAGATAAGTGTGCCAGAACTTCATTACATAATCTTTGCCTACCTTAATATGTTTATATTAAAATACGTATATATAAAAGGACAATAGACCCAGTATGATACGACTACGTAGACGCGGACCGAAAGAGCGCGCTTGACTCCGCAAACGGCAAACGGCTATGGGATTCCGTAGCGAAAGGTTGTACCCAAGCGATGTCTACGTAATTTGACTGTATTAAAGTACGACCGATATACCAAATAATTTTCATCTTAGTGTTGCGTGCAGTGACTTAATTTAGTGTAGTTTCTGGATATCTTTCAAATTGGTAAGTAATTTTTTTATAATTTTAATTCAATGTGTTAGGAATCTTTTTTAAGTAATACTGATATAGATTTTAATTTAATAATTGACTTATTTATTTATGTTGGATTAAAATGATCCATATATAATTAGGAATTACAGATATTTTAATTTAAAATAAAAAGGTTTGAACATAATAAAAATAAAAATCTGTAAATTATTATTTTAATAATTTTAACGTGAACATTTAAAACAAAATGTTTTGATTCACTTAATATAATATGTATTCCATATTAAAATAATAAAATATTAAGACATTTGTGTCCCGCACAGATCAGACGCGACACCTCTATTTAATATAATTTAAACAAAAGTCCAGAATTTTCAAATAATCAGCGGGTAACCTAGAGAATTTCAAGTTTATACGTATTGTTTTGCACAACAAATTCTAGTGGTAAATAACAACAATTTTTTACTAAACATGCGTTTAATGAAACAGCGGATATGGATCCGCTAATATTGTGAACATCCCGCCAATTAACAATGACTGGTTTGTAAATTCACCAGTTAACCAACCCGCATTGGGCCAGCGTGGTTGATCATGGCCTTATCGCCGCTGACTTAGGGTAGGCTCCGAGCCCTTCGGTGGGGACGTATAGCGAGCTGATGGATGGATGGATGGTTTGTTAGTTCATTTATTGAATATTCCAGAGTAATATCTCATCGCAGGAATTTATTCCTTATTTGTAACTTGTCTGGCTATCGCCCGCTACTCCGTCTGCGTGGAATTAAAAACA